TTCGTGTGCGAATATCGGCATCAGCGTGGGACTGGAGACTGCACACAAAAATAAGACTCTTAAATTGATCCGCAGTCATCGTGCCCAGTTTGAATCGTTCACATTCGCGGTTCACAATCCCAGTATGAGTGACAGAGTCATGAACATCGCGTTTGACCAACTTCAAACAATTGTACCGAATGCTGAACAAAGATGCTTGCTCACTGAAGATCTGCGTCAAAGTTCTCACGGTCTCATCAAAGCTGAAGTCCCTTGCGTTTTTCGGCAACACGAAATTTGTGTAGCGTTCATGCTCCACTGCTCCAAGTTTTCTCAACAACAATCGAACTTTCCAGGCATCATCTTGGTCAGCAAACTCCACTCGAAAAATATCCTCATACTTCTTAAACCATGAATCGAAGGTTACACCACTCAATCCATCGAACACATATTCTGTGATTGATGCAGTAAGGGCGTCCACTGATGATCTTGCAATCGTCGTCGTCGGGGGCTCTATCTGAAGGTTCAATTTCTGTGTGAGCAATTCGATCAGCTGCCTTTGCGATTTCTCAAATTGCAATTGTTGCTGTTGAAGTAAAGTCTGCAATTGCTCGAACGAAACCGACATGGTTCACCACTTCACGTCGCCAGAAGAATATGTTGTGACACCCAGTACGCCTTCACCCCACGACCAAAAGAAGAAGTCCAAGATGAGCCGGGATGAACAGATTTTCTATTACAGCACGGCACCAGTTATATAGCTTTACAAACAAGGGCGAATCCAAGCTACTAAACGCATGAGATCCAACAGGCATGGAGAAAACACAAAGTGGAACAAGCAAATGAGAATCGCGAAAATTACGAGCCAATGAAGTGCGGCAAAGAAAATAGTGTCTGCGGAGTTAATCCCTGGGGGTAACCTTCTGGTGAGCGACCATTAAAAACGACGAGTAGTGTCCAATCAGTGTGGAGAAGTGATGCGTTTAAACAAATGCCAGAACAGTTGATAGTGAGAATGATACACACCAGGAAAATAAAAACATGCATAATAAATATGTGTCGGCTGAATAATACATCCACGTGAAAAAACTAAGGAACGCTGAGCAAAAGAAACCAATCAGAATGTCCACAGAATGAGACGGCTGAAATTAGCTGTGAGCGATTGCGAATGAGGCTGAGGAAAGCGGCGTGTCCAAAATGTAGCAGAGAACCAGGTAACTGCGCAAACAAAGAAATAGGCAACTAACATAATTCATGAAACTGAGGGTTAAGTAGCCAGCTCCCTAACAGCTGTTTCGAACTTTGTTGCATCCTCAAAAAATGCAAAACTTCTCCCCAACATTGGTAGGTACCGCGGTCTAAGGTACTGACACTTGGTGGGGATCAAGTGCCGTTCGATCAGAAATGCAACTACCTGTGCGGTTATATCCGTGCTTGCAGAAAAGAATAAGATCATTAGCCGTGAGGCAAAAGCTCAAGGCGCTTTGCTAATCTTGACCACTTATGCGCCGGAGAAACATCATGCTCACTCTGGAGAGTAGAGTCTACAATGACTCTCCAACTCTCTGTACGATTGTGGAACCTATCGCAGAATTCTGTGTTGCAGGGATAAAGGGTTTAACCCGTAAAGCATACCCATGGAAATGAAGAACACAATTTTGCGAAGAGTACTCTTTTCGACAAATCTCCTCAGGCATTTACGATTATAAAATGGAAAGGCAAAACACAAATAGCTGATGAACCCAAAGAAGTGGGAATAGTGGAATCACGACAAACAGAAACTCAAAAGTCTTGATCAATAAAGTCCACTAACAACAACAGAAAATGTTTTGGTTGATCGGTGGGATGCCAAGCGCATAATCCGACCACTGTACGAGTACGGAGTGATAAAAGTTGGTAAGCAAACTAGAGCCAAGGTAGAAGGCCTTGCGGCAAAGCCTTCTGTTTGCATAATTCCGGTTGAATTATTCTACTCGCGATCGCTTCGGCCGTCCGTAATATTTGCTTCCTAAGACTTTTAGTGTACCGTCGTTGTACTACATAGAGCACTTGGAAGGCATCAGCGGTCCTAATTCGGTGTCCGCTTCCACCAAACATTCCAGAACAGAACTGTTGGGGCGACTGGCGATGTCTTTCCGCAAAGCCGCTGGGCAGTGCTCCGCAATGTCTTTAGACAGACGCCTGGTTTATTCGACAAAGAAATCTCAATAAGATGACAGTATAGCCAGCCTGGAGAAGCCACTTCTATAACTAATGACGCTTCTACATTCGTGAGATTCTTCTTCTACTTTAGTAAGACAAACACCCCAGCGTAGCCAGATAGTAACTAATCAGTGTAGATGTCCAATCATCCACTCCGCTTGTTTATGCCAATCTATATGTTTGCATCGTTAGGCAAATCCATCTCGTCTCTCTGATCGCACATTCCCACCACAGAATCTGGCCCGTCAGATCGATAGACCTAAAGAGCTTGACTGCATTCGGTCACCGAGGCCATCGTAATATGGCTCACATCTGGTGGGAACACCGCGTGAGCGACGACTATGCTCGGCATCTTGTTTGTGGCTCGAAAAGGGCAAATGAGCTGTTCAGCATTGCTACTTTACACACCAAGCTCCGACGACTAGGTCGTGTGTTACGTATGCCAAAAAAACAACTACCGCGACCTGTGTTGCTAACGCGACAGGAGTCTTCGTGAAAGAATGGGAGAAATCAGTCACTGAATTAGTCAAGAGAAAGGACCTTACTTCAAATTCAGACTCGATTGGTGCATCCTGACTGTTGGGCTGGGGTCCCACTGAGAATGAACACCATTTGGTTTGAGACACTTGTCTAAACGACGAATAGCCGACCACAAAGGATTTTGTGTCGTGTTTCTTTGTCCCTATTCAACCTGCTTCGTCTCCTCCTCTAACGCCGACCCCGCTACTTATGCAACAAAACAGTACTTCGTTGCCTTTTTACTCCCAGATGCTTCGCACCCGTAACTAACATGTCGACTGATGATGGTGGTAAAAATTGGGGAAGAGGATGATAGATTAAAACTGTTACATCGGTGCCGAGATGAAGAGCCGGCGGTGTTCTAATGAGCAATGAGGAAAATTGGCCCAAACTGATCAAAGAAACGTAGTCCACGCACAAGTCGCAGAGTAGAAATCACAGCAGAGAATGCTCTTCAGACGTTAAAAAAGCGATGAAGAGTAGAATGGAAATCCACGACCCTGTTGCTGTTGTCCAATGTATTAGCGAGAGCCCAGATTGTGCTTCCAAAACGCCGATGGATGCAGTGAGGAATTTGATACAATAGGTTCCCAGTGCTCTAGTTATAAAAACGACACTCATTAGCATTACCAGCTAGGAAAAGAGAAGAACGCAGCATCCGTTACGGTCGCGCGATGCAGACCAGAGAGGCGATTGGCAAAAAGACATTGCTCGATCGGACCAATCGAAATCAAGGTGCAGTTCAAGATCCCGCACAGAATACCTAAATGTACGAGGGTAGAGCAATAAGTCTCCGGATGCACAAAATATTTCATTTTTTTACAAAAAAATAAGCACTACATACCCTCGAAGTACTTTCCATCATCGTGCACGCGCAGTTTCATGCACCCAAACCATTTGAAAAAGCAGCTAGACCATATCGAAGCGGATAACCCTTCAAGAAGCGCACTAAAGGCCTCTACTGCAGCTTTTGGAGACACGTAGCGGATTTCACGCATCAAGTGCTTAACATTCGGGAACACAAAAAGTCACACGGAGACAGGTCTGGACTGTAGGGTGGGTGACCAACCTCCTAGATGCGTTCTCGAGCTAGAGAATCTGCGACTTCATGGGACCTGTATGCAGGCGCGTTGTCATAGTGCAGCAAGGTCCCTCGAGTTCGAGTTCTTGGACAACGCCTGGCTACACCTTCCAACACTTGTGGCAGACAGTGGGCGCCACACCAGTCTCCGGCGACTGCGCGTTGCAGCACGAGCGGTACAGTAGCCAAAGAACCGGTTTTGGGCACGAACACAGCTACCACCTGCTTGGCCACACTAAGCTCAAGTCGGAATTGCTGAGGCGGCGCTCCACCAACGGCCGTCCACTGAGCCGATTGTTTCTTGGTCTCTGGGTCGAAACTGTACTTCCAGGTCTCATCACCACTAAGGAGTTCCCAAACAGCATTCGAATGGCCACCATCAAACCTGTCAAGCATGGTGCGGTACCAACTCACCCCAACTGCTTTCTGGTCCTCACCCAGAGGGCGCAGACCTTTCTCAGGCCGAGGTTCTCATGTAGAATGGTGCGGATTGATCCCGATGTGATCCCGATAGCTTTCTCCGGCTGTGCCACAGTCAATCGCGCGTCCTCCTCCAGCATCGCTTGCACAGCAGTAATTCTGTCCGCGGTGGTGGCCTCCACAGGTCGAGCATGCCGTGCCTCATCATCCAGGGATCGCCTGCTACGCTTGAATTCCGCGAACCACCCAAACACAGTGGTTCTTAAAGGAGCAGCATCACCAAATGCAATCTCTCAACACTCTGGTGCTGCTTTAAAACACATTTGTAGTCATAGAAAATCAACACTCTCCAGTGACGTTGACCGAGTTCCATACTAACAGTCAGAGTATAGCGACACTTATGGCTTGTGAGCTGTGCTGGGCTGCTGATATAGGTCTCTATGAATTGAAATCACTGAACAACGTTCAGAATAAATTAGAGTTTACATTTTTCTTACCAGGTCGTTAGCACTTAATCGGTGTACTGTGTATCCAGAAACTTACTGCTCTGCCCTAGTACAAGGATGTAGTAAGCTTAGTTAGAATATTACACAACCGACGGACAAGCTGGGGAAATCTCCGGACTGCTGTATGTAATGAGGTCAGAATTGGTTGTCACCTAGAATGCTTGAGATGAACTATGAATGGTCAGTGACAAAACCGTCACCTGTGAGAAAGCACCTAGCGTTGGCGAAGCAAAACGAAAAAACGCATTGTCGTAAAGCCGCTTTCTTTTGCTGTGCTGTGACGCTGCACCAACCCAGTGTTTAACGGACAAAGCAGACCAAATGAAACTACCATTCACCTGCTTTTACTCATCGGAAATTTCAACCGCTTGTGAAAAGATGATAGAGAAGAGACTGTCAGATAACGATTACACTGAAAGTGTCGAAAGCAGTGAACAAAAGGTGGACATGAATTGATAGGGTAATTAAGATGGTGTCTGCACGCTGCTCTCAGTGACCATTTCAGATTGCAAAGTCCGGAGTAGAAAGGTGAACAAGGCCTCTTCGACTGCTTCGGACAGCGTGGCTTGAGCACAAAGATTGAACTGATCCCACAATGCTTCCAAACTTGGACTTAAGCTAAGGCTAAGGTACACAGGAACCTGAAAACGCTTTGAGATTTTTCGAGACAACATTTCTTCACGTAATCCCAGGGATGCACCTGGTACACCATGAAAAGCGGTCCCGTAAATGTGGCTACTACAAAGGGTCTTCGAGTCTCTCTCGGGAACACAAACGGATAGGCCTACAAGGCGCTGCAATTGAATGATAGTAAGCTTACTTGAAAAGGTGCCCTCAACGTCTCCGATCCACAGGAAAATGGAACTGTTCATTGTGAGAAGGAAAAACTTGACACTTGTGCCGAAAGTAGGCAGCTCTTTTTGTAACTCATGCCATCTGAAGGGGCTACCCAGAGTAAATAGATGAGGCCGCAAACAGTGATTTTACCTGTAGGTTCCATTGGCATTTTCGTTCATTGTATTTAGACTGGAATCAATGCGGAAACATGACAACGATGTCACTACGAGCAATGAGGACGAGTTAACGTACTAAGCAGCTGACTGGTGGTAGAAAAACAAAAAATTCATGAACGAGTCGCAGTTCATTTTGCCACAACGAAGATTCAACAGCTGACGCAAGTTGTATGAACGCAAGGGCGCTCGGCCTTGAAAAATGCATGTCGATACGAAGGTGAGCTGAATCGTTGACATATGTCCGAGCAATGGGATACACTCGAGAGAACAAGTCGAACCATGCTCGGACATCCACAGCTGTTCGATTATTTAACTATGACCCAAGCATTACAGGAGATCGTGCCCAGTTGCCACGACCCGAGTCGTCTACATAATGTAAAAATAATAAGAAAAAGCAAAGTATATGATTTTTTAAAAACTTGGAGAAGCCAGAAAAATCAACTAAAAAGTCGAATGGAAAGAGCAATAAACGGTGTAAGACATCCACTGACTAGGTAAACCGCTCATGTCAGATGACGTGTTTAGCTGTTGATGCGGTCGATCTCGAGGTACCAATTCAACCAAAGTGTGTACATGCGGACTACGCATTCGCCTGGTAACCTGGAGGCTACCGGTTCGAATCCACGGACGACTTCGTGGTATGACCAGGTCACGCGAGACCAGCAGTGATCGCGTGACGCAAAAGCTTCAGTACGGTGTACTGCTGATACTTTAATCCTGAACAGAGTTTCTGCGTGGCCACTTGATATGGCATGCAGTAGTCAACTTTCGGTTTCGCCTAATTAAACACGGCGAAGGAAAACAATACAACCTAAGGCAGCTGGTCTGAGTGTTTGAAAAAGATGGCATAGTCAGCGCCGGCGTACATCCAATTGTTAGTCCGGTGTGACACTGGAAAACGTTTGTTGCCAAACACCAGCTGGCGGATGGCAACGTTGCGCTTCGGTGCTGCTAATTAACAGTGGCAATATATATATATATATATATATATATATATATATATCGTTACCCAATAAATATTTGGCAGAATGTCACAACACGCAAGTAACAATAACAACAAGGAAGTAGAGAAGGAATGTAAAGTTCCATGTGCTGTGTGGGCAGTGAGCTTCCCGGTTGCCCAGGCCGAGGTAGAGAGTTGACTTAAAGGGGCCCTACCCTGAGCATTTGGTCTTAAAACGCTGATCCGCAAGGCAGCGGGGCGAATACCAAGAACGTTGACAGCCAAGTGGCTCATTCGCCTTCTTTGTGTTTGGTTGCTGTCCAGAAAGAAGCCGCTGGCCAAAGCGCAGATGATCTAAGATAACCTGTTTCTTGTTAAATTTAGAAGCAATCGTTGGCGATTCAGCCCGTTCTCAGTAGTATGTCATCGAGCTAGGAAAACACGGATAAATGAAATGGAATAATATAGTGAACGTTCAGTGGCTGAAAGACTGCATGACCCAACTGCGTAAGCAGACCCAAAACGGTCACAGTGTGTGTGGTATGGTTTGCGACAAGTGCCAATGTGACTAGACACCAAGGTGAATTGAGTACCTGGATAAACTTATATTGTGAGCACAGGTGTGGAATCTGGAGTCGAATACTGAGCGCGTCAATTTTGTTGATAATAGACAGCATACAAACACTTATGCGTTGCATCTAGGCAGGCGGTCAACATCATTATACATGTTAGTTAGAGATGGGAAACACCTCAGCTACTGCGCCGCAATAATGAGAAGGGAGAAAAATGCAACAGAGGCAAGCTAGCTGAGCCACGAGTGAACAATGTCCCGGAGAGCTACCAGGCGGGTGTTGTGTTGCAAAGTCATATTATGCTTCAGGAATGAGATTGTGGTTAAAGAGGGAGGCTAGGCGAGAGAAAGGAGAGACAGAAAACTCACAACACAAACGCCACTTAGGATAGCTCCTTGCGATGTTAACAAGTGTCTTTCGAACCGCAAACAGGGATCCGATAGGCTCCAACCACGGCCAGATTAGAACAAAGGGCCTTCAATCCTCTTGACCAAGTCATCGTATGGCTGCCCTTTTTCCATTCACACCCCCAGCGTGTAAACAACGCAGCAAACGGGAGTCGGTGAGCTGGCATGTGCAATAAGTGGCCCAGTCATCGGAGCCTAGTGTGTGTTATAACGTTGCTGAGTGGTTCATATCTTCTTCCTGTGCCACAAATGAGGTGTCGAATACGCTCAAGATAGGAGCCGAACTGCGAAAGCACAGGTGAACGAAGGTAACTAGCTTTTAGTGTCTGCAGATCCGATGGGCCACGTTTCGTAACGGCAAAGTATGGAGGAACGTAGCGGCTGCATTGCACACTATATCCTGCAGGGAGAAAGTGATGTCGCGCTGGTGCCATAGGTGATAAAGGTTGGCGAAAGCGCCGAGTGCTTTTGCTATATGGTTTGCAAACTTGTATACGATCCCAAAACCGCCTAGGTGGTTGGTTTTTTGAACGACTTCTAGCTGATCCCCACCAAGGGTTAGTGCAGGAGGCGGTCGCTGCTAAGCTTGGAGGAAAGCTTCGAAACTTTGAGGGCGCAATGCAAAGCCAGAAACGGCTGACAGCCAGTGCTAACATGTCCAGTGCAGCTTGGCAAGTTGGGAGATATCACACATGACGGTAATGTCATCAGCATATTCCATGCCAAGATGCTAGTCATCTGGGAGCAACTTCACAGCTTGTAGATCAGGTCCAGTAGATGCGATTTCCATGACTTTGTCAACAGCGAAATTGAGGAGGAAAGGTGACAGCTGGCATCCTTGTCGTAAACCAATGGAGATAGAGAAGAGCTGCGACAACTAGCCGTAAATCCTCACTGCTCGAGCTATGCGCGTATAACGTTCGGATAATATTTACATATTGCTCGAGCACATTTTTCCTTAGCAGACAGTCTCAAAGACCATGTAGATTCACCGAATCGAAGGCACTTTTGATGTCGATGAACACGACAACGGTAGGCCGCCAATCGGTGCTCCAACAATTGACGTAAAGTGAAGATGTGATTGATGCAACCTAGACCTCAAGAGAACCCGTCTTCCTCCTCACGAATCTGATTTTCACGAATGCCAGAGGCAAGCAATCTGGAGGCGACGAAGATCAGATTGATTTCCCTATAGTTGCTGCATATTGGACGTGAGCCTCCTTTGAAGATAGGGACAAGAACGGAGATGTTCCAGTCAGCTGGAACAGTTTCTTGATCCCAGTTTCACTAGTAGCTCGCGTAAATCATCAACAAGAGCAAGGCCCTCGAGTTTGGAGAAGGAGAGAGGAGCAATGTCTGGTCTCTCAGACTTATACAACTTCAGAATTTCGATCGCACATTCGAGTTCTGAGCAAGAGGGTGGATCCAGAAGGACAGCCCAAGGAGCAAGGCGATCACTGGCCGGAGGTAAATCCGACAATTCCGGCCGATTAGATTGCCTTCAAAAATGCTAAGTCAAACACTCCAACTGTTTTGACAAAAGATGCGGATTGGCTATCCACTCTCGTCACAGATAGTTTCACTAACAGCAGGTCTCCTACTGCGCGTTTCCCGTATCAGACGGAATAAGTTCCGATGGTTACCAAGGGCAGCGGCCACTTCCACCTCCCACGCACGATGAGACCACCAGGATTTATAAGTCTCTCTTAAGGCTAGCATGCAATTGTGCTCTGAGGTCTTTGCGAGTCTCGTTGTGCTCGTTCCCAGTCGGAATGTGGTGGAGAGCGTCCAGAATTTCCAGAGGTTGCGTAGAGACCCAATGTGCAGATTAATTATCAGATTTACCACATGATGATTTACCTGCCTCTAATAAGGCTTGGTGAACGTGCGAGCAGCGACTTTCCACCGTATTCAGAAAGCTCTTACTCAACCCGAATGCCAGTGTAGTTCGATACGCATTCAGAACACCTGGCTTCGCCTGTTGGCGGGTGTCTATGTGCTCACAGCGCCGTTGGAAACCGCCGCGGAATCGCACTTGAAGATCAATACGCACGAGTGTACGGTCAGTGTCCACATACGTACTTCAGATCGAGCGACAGTTTTGGACGCAGCCTCTCCAGCAGTAGCTGATAGCAATGCGACCGATTTGCGTCAAATTGGCTAGCGGGTGCCATGTCACCCGTTGGCGGGTGCAGTGTCAGAAGTTAGTGTTCGCAAGAATTAATCACTCAGCATTATCATTACAAGAGCCTACACCGTGTTGACTTCCCAACTGCAGCTCACGAGTGGACAATATTCTAACTTGGGCGTTCAGATTCCCGGAAAGTACCACAGTATCCATGCTTTGTCAGTGACGGAGAAGCTCGTTCAGTTAGCGACAGAATTTGTCTTTCGATGGGTCAACGCTACAGTTTATGGGCGCGTAGGCAGCAATGACAAACAGGCGCGGCTTCGAAGGAGCCAGACCGTACACATCCGACTACTGACTAGGATTCAAGCAACCAGAGCTGCTTCAGTACAGGGACTCAGAGCAACACGGACACCAGCTTGGCCAGCACTCGAAGCTGCATCATCGTCGGACAGACAAAGTGAGAAGGCACTGCGTGACCCCGGAAGGGGATCGCAGAGTGAGCACAGGTGGATGGACTGGAACAGTTTCTGCACTCTATCCAAGTAATTCCAATCTACAACACACGGTACTTGTCCTTATTCTAGTTACTAGGCTAAACTGCCAAGCCGCGAGACGATAGCTGGTTATCAGATAGTTTGGCGGTTCTCCCGTAACAACCTGATCAACATGAACAAGAAAAAGAGTACCAAACAGAAAGAAATAGGTGACACAGGAATCAACGGAAGTCAACATTCACCGGTCTCTATATGGGACTCCAATTCTGGTAAGTTAGGCGCTGCCGAAATGCCCAGTAACGCCTGCTGTGAGTCAATAATCATACGGCCACCTGGATAGTTGAACCGATCAACCATTTTCAGTGGTGTGTTAGAGATGGACAGAAATTGTCGTGAGTGACAATCTGAACTTCAAAGGTACTAAAGAAATATCGAAGTGTGCGGTGCTATGACTCAAACTGCGTAGCGGTGAAGTATTACCAGCTGAATATGGCCTCAGGAGAGCTGCATAACTAAGGTAGACAAACTATGTCGGTCAGTTGCTTGGTCGAAAATGCCGTCAAGAAAATGTACCTGGTACAGTCATTTGTGGTTGATACAATCGCGAAGTTGAGGAAAAAGAGAACTATGGTGGTCCCCGACGCATAGCAATTGCAGTGGGCAGCTCAGGAGGTGGCTTCCCTTAGACCATCACAAGGCTCATTAAACTGCGGTAGATGGAGTGCGGATACCCAGAGGGCGTCGACTACTCGCGATAGTTCGTCGCCAGTGTTCATGCCGCATGAGTTGTCCTTCACTTTCTAATACAGGGTTAACCAGCAAGAGACTGATGCGCATTTTCCAGACCTACGTTTGGAAACCGAGTACGGAGATCGGTGCTAGAAGCCTGGAGTCACAGTCATCAAACCTGGACATATTAAAACAAATGACCCAGCAGTTATCACCGGAGACAAATTCATTTGTTAACTAATTTTAGGCGGCCGAACCACGGGTATATTTGTTGGGTCGAAGTATAGTAGGTTGGTAAAATTGTTCATTTGTTCACCGAGCTTGGCGGTTTTGTCGCAAACGTTTCACCACCATGCGAAGTGGCATCCTTAGTGCAGTGAGATGTGGCGTGCAATCTTACGGCACGCCGCATCTCACTGCACTGAGGATGCCACCTCGCATGGTGGTGAAACGTTTGCGACAAAACCGCCACGCTCGGAGAACAAATGACAATTGAATCAGCAACCCGAGCTACCAGTATTTCGAAACATTTTAAAGTTGGTCGGCCAATAGCCGAAAGAACCACGCTTGTCTTGTAATCCGGAAATCAACGATTCGATTCCGCGTAGGTAGTGACCAGATCGCGCGCTCTCATCTGGATGCCATAAGCAGCCAGCCACATGTCTGTTTAAGCTATCTGAAGGCACATTGCATTTGCGAATAGAAGTCTTTTCGGCAATTCACTTCAAGCAAATGCAAGTACAAGGCTAAGATAAATATGACAGGTAAGCAAACGTTGGGGATGACTCACGAAGTCGATCAATAATCCACACAATACAGTCAGAAGTCATGAGGCGCGCGACCACGCGCGAAGACGCACACACGCACAAATGCATTGGCCAGTAGGTCCACAATGGTCACTTTCAGCCGCAAGCACGGTCCGACATTACGACCACGGCAACATGAAAGATTGCATCAGTGTACTCTGCTTGCACAACTCCAGCTAATTGCAATGGATTCAGCAGTGACCAACAAGCGCTTTCTGACTCTTTCGGGGTTGCGCCTCGTGCCGCGTAGACTATTGTGTAGGTGTCATCAGTCCGAATATGCTTAGTACGGGTCATCGGCTTCGGACTGAGGACGCCTTCAAAGTAGTCTACACGGTACCAAGGCATAACCCCAAAAGAATCAGACCGTGCTTACGGCTGAAAGCGATCATTGCAGGCCAACCGGTCAACGCGTCTGTGCTCCGTACATGTGTGCGCCTTCGCGCGTGCTCGCGTAATTCATGAAGTCTGACTGTGTCGAGGGGATTATTGGTCGACTTCGTTGAATCAACCAGTCGCAGCCCAGTGTTCGCTTACCTGTCACGTTTAGCTTAGTCTTGTAAATGCATTTTCCTGAAATGAATTGCCGAAAAGGGTTCACTTCGCAAGTGTTATGCTTCTAATATCTGGATGGGTATAAATGATGAACATTGTATTTAGTCCGTGCGGGGACCCAATGAGGAGTGAGACCAAAGAAACCAGGTGAGCACATCGACCGGCTCGTGGCCGAAAGGATCACAAGCCCGCCTTGTAACCCAAAGGCCACGGGTTCGAGGTTGTGAAGAGGACCGGGGGATCTTCGAAGTATGTTTAACCCACACAGGACTGAAAATGGTTTTCTGGCAACGAAGTGCCGCACTTTGTACCGGCGTACTGATGACGCCTCCCTTCTTTTCTAATGGGACAGCATCCCGCGCAGCGCTAACGCAAGATACGGTACGGTGTGTGTGTGACAGTAGGGCAAAAGTGCAGGCAATTCATGAGAGATAACAGTAGCCTACTCAAATGGAAACAAACTGCCAAGCGCACGTATGAAAAAGAACCGAAATTGTGACATGCCAAAGATATTACTGAGTCAATAACAAGTGGTTTGATGAAAATGGACAAATCGAATTGCAGCAGATTGGATAGGGATCTCATCAGGTGACGTGTAAAAGGATGAGCGTGGAATCAACACTGGATTAAGACTAAGAGCAAGTACGCAACATGCAATGTGCGTGTGGATGATTGGGATCGCAAGTGCCTGAGTATTACGTATGCATGTTACACATTTGATCGTCCCAGACAATAGGATTTCAGTGGCAAAATAGTAATGGTACATTTATTGTGATGGATGTACGTACAAAGAGAGCCGGCAGTGGTTAGGAATTGGATCACAGCATGCGCGTGAGGTTAACCGTACAAATGTCAGTAAAAAAAAGTGATGTCAGGGAGAAGATGAGGCAAATAAATAACGGGTGAGAACAAATCGTGATGTGGGGCCAGTGGCGCCAGGAAAGAGCAAGTCAGTTGAGCGAGAAAGCCATCTTCTGTTTGCACTCCGGGAACAGCGGCGGAAGGTCAACTCAGGTCATGGATCCAAATACGGGATTGTGGCGGCAAATAGAGGGACCATACTCTTCGTACTGTGCTTTGGTGTGACACACGGAATAGAACTCGTTCTGGCAGGGAAGAAAGCATGAGAGTGAAACGTTATTATCTATGGAAGTATACCGATAGATTGAACTTATTTAAGAATCTTCGGAATAAGGAGTAAGAAGAGAGGAAGAAGGGCGATCCAGTATATACCCTGAGCGAATATTCAGGGCCAACAGTACACAGTTAAAAGAACAGCCAGTTATCGTACGAATACAAGAAGATACTGATGAGGCAACTTCCCTGCGTCTTTTAGGGCACAGCGATAGAACCAACTTTACTCCATAGGTAACTTTTAGCATCAGACGCAGTTTAAACAGGGATGCCAACTAAGAGATGACAGCGAATGCGCCTTTAGTGCAAAATGCATGAGCATCAGCCAGTGAAAATTTGCTCCGGGTGGAAAAATAGGGGATGCTACGTGAGTAGGCCGATCTGTGATGTTTATCCAAAACATTGCTTCGAATGGTCAGGAGAGCAAAAGTAACGCACATCAGATAACTCATTGAAAGGCGAATGCAACTTCACACATCGGGCATGTCGATACGTCGGCAGGGTCCGTTTAGGTTTTGAAGATAACCATAGGTACAGACGCACAGAGTACGACATCAACAACCATTCAACGGAGGAGAAAAGTGCGTCGACGGATCTGGAGTTACAGTGTATGGTCCAGGAACGAAAAAATACAGGAAAACGGATGAATCAATTGGCTGACTCGAAGAAAACTGTCGCACGTGATGACCAGGAGACATGAGCCGCTAGCACGGAGATTCGGTAGGGCCAAGTTGAGGTTGTGCTCCAAAAGTGAACTCACACGAGATCGTAGGAACTAACCGATATCTGTGACCTGCCTCCGATAGGAAAACACTTAGGTGCTACAAGTAATAAGGGATTTCGACAGTGAAGATTCAATATAATTCGTGTGGTTAAACTACAAATAATCGTTGATTCGAACTGGGTAAAGCCATGTGGGTTTCCATATGACAGAATAATCTTGTTGGACAGGAACATCACACAAACGAACAAACTCACTGTATCTGCGAGCATGGAGCCACCGAACCAGACGGCGTAGCGTTGCATCGGATGAGTGACGATTTTCACATCGATTGGAGTAGGCTGTAAAAATGAAAAGTGCAAAAATACAATTCATAGATATAGCCGCGTCGGACAAAAAAGAACCAAAAGGAAAAATGTGTTGCGCTAGCGCCTGACAAACGTGTTACCCAGGAACGGTAAATATTCAGAACAGAAGTAGGTTGTAAGTCAGATACGATCCTGCGTGGAACTCTAGTCTAAGGAAGCAGCGAAAGCATCGGAAACACATCATGATAGTCAGTAGGTGCCTTTTGGTCCAGTGTTCGTGAGGTGCGCTTCAGTAAGATGTGTCACATCTGGACATTTTGATAGCGTTACCAAAGACGAACAACAAGCGAGTAACGAACGGGAGGCAATATGTAGAACAAATGATTGACCTCAATGATCCGCTGTTATTCCGTTATCAATAAAAAATGCTGAGAATTTATTGAGTAGTTACACAGTTCAGAAATTACATGCTATTTAATCAATGAACAGAAGCATCCACAAAGAACAGGATGACGAGATACAAATGTCAAATGGCCAAACGACTATAAATGCAAGCACCAGCGTGGATGTAACACACTACATTCACTCTGACTAAAAGACGAACCTTGATTCGACCTCCACTCAGCTCCTCCGTAAGACGAAGGCGGTTGTCAACAATTTGTTTGATATCTCGTTGCAAGCGTCGACCGAGATTTTTAAACATCGAGCTCCCACCTGAAAGAACTATGTTCTGACGAGATGGAAAGAAAAAAACCAACCAAACGGTTTAGTACTCCTCTAAAGGGATAAAAGAGACCACGACCATTAGCGTATTGATAACGATTCGTTTGAAAGATGGTGAGATCTCACCAAAGGTGTATAGTTAAACGGTGAGTAGTATTGTGACATGCAGCTTTCTCGGAGGCTTGTGCAACGTGTTTTAAACATGTGTTAGCTGATGCTTTAGTAGACCAGGTCGTGAATCTATTAGATATACTACCAACATGAGGCACGGGTCGGTTGAGGATCACATCAGAGAACAAGAAAGAAACGAAAAGCTGTCCCACAAAACAGGCCTCATGCACTTACCCGATTAGATACAGTAATGTCTTTAAAAAGATTGGGAGCATGTTGTTTGGTTGTATCGGCATCACTGGTCTTTCGTTATTGGTTGTTTCCGTGTATCCACCATCTTGAGGGACACTGCCGAGTGCACACCATCTTTCGACCACGTTCAGAGGTTAGAGGCTTCTGCCTAGATTCCAGTGCGCTGGTAGTATCACACATTTTACACGCAAAAGTAGATAACTCACTGCATGTTTACCTCATTCTGCACTGGCCGTGCCACAATTTACAAAGGGTTTCCCCGACGGCTGCACACAGCAGAGTGGGTAAGTGAAAGCATCCCACCTGCCGAAGAGATTAAAGTATTTGTCTTGTAACCCCCAGAGGTCACCCGTTCGAATCTGCACAGAGGTGCGAGCGAGGTCGAGGCATAAGCAGCCCAGGAAAAAGAGGGCTGGTGGTCACGTATCAACAAAGCGACGGTGCGGCGCCCCGATGTATTGTTAACACTGTCTGTCACTGTTGATGTATCATTTCGTTTTCAAGAAAACCGCTTGTATCCCTCCTGATTATCCGTAGCAGTCAACTATTCGTTGTCCACAGAAATGAGTAATAACAGAGGAAAGTTGCCACTGCTCGACCTCATTAACACTAGAACGCCCGGAACGGTCATTTTGACCGCTCAGCGTTATTAAATGTGCATATTTTCTACATTTATGGACATTTTTCAAAGATATTTCGTGACTTTTAATATTTTTGGACGTTCTTCATTACTGTGAGTTTTCGTTTTCATATCTGTTATAGTTTTCGAGAAAAGAGGTACCTGTGTTCATACTACCTAGAAAGCCCGTTAGCGGTCAAAATGACCGCTTCTCTCTAATCCGGTTCATCTTTTTATTTTTAGCCACCACTATCATTTTTGACAGTTATATACTATATCAGTCAAAACGGGAGTGAAAACTAGCCGAATCACGATTTTACTGTGATATTGTGCGTTCAGTCAGATAAATTCCAGTGACATTTTTGTACACAATGGCACTTCTAAGGAAAACAGCCTTTGAGGTTTTACGAGAACTTACAACCATCGATGACAACGAGTCTGGAGACGAGAACGATTATGATGTTGATGAGGACTCCATCTTCCATGAGTCAGCAGAAGATCACAGCATGTCTGATAGTCAAACGTCTGCTGATTACACTCCATATGAGGACCCTAGAGAGAGTGTATCAACCGATTCGGTATCTCCCGGTGAGCTTCACGTATCGAAAGATGGTAGCACGTGGATAGCAGTGGAGTTCGAAACATCTACTGTTGGTAGGATTCCATCACAGAATGTGTTTAAGGCTAGACTAGGACCAACTCCCTATGCTAAGAAATGTGTGAAATATGGTGAGCTGTCGAGCACTTTTGACAGCATAATCACGCCCCAGATGCTGAAACATATTCAAGTATGTACTGAAGCTGAGGCCAAGAGTTTTAGGTGTCAGTGGAACGTAAGTCTTCCAGAGCTGCGTGCCTTTATTGGTCTACTTTACATCAGAGGCTTCATGGGTCTGAAGAACATGCCGTTGAATATGATGTGGTGCGATAGATATGGACTGCCTATTTTTAGGGAAACAACTGGCAAGAACAGCTTCAAAGAAATAATGAGGTTCCTCCGTTTTGACATGCGAACTACCCGATGTGAAAGACTGCTAACTGATAAGTTTGCTTTGGTATCTGAAATGTGGAATGCATTCATTCGCAACTCTCAACAATGCTATGTGCCTGCGCAGAATCTCACAGTTGATGAGCAATTGTTTCCCTCCAAAACCCGTTGTCGTTTTCTCCAGTACATGCCCAACAAACCAGATAAGTTCGGTATCAAGTTTTGGATGCTGGCAGAAGTAGACAGCAAGTATCTCGTTAATGGATTTCCATATCTCGGGAAGGACGAAACTCGGTCAAGAGGAGAAAGTCTTGCAGAGAGCGTGGTATTGCGCCTGGTGTCACCATTATTTGAAAAGGGGTACAATGTCACAAGTGACAACTTCTTTACATCGGCAGCATTAGGAGAAATGCTGGCCAAGAAAAACACAAATATGGTGGGAACACTTAGAGCTAATAGCAAGGAAGTACCATCGATTTTGATAGAGAGCTGTTCAGTTCACTTATGATGAGGAATGAAAATAAGCACACATTAACATCCTACCAGTGTAGAAGGAATAAGAGTGTTTTGGTTTTCAGTTCCCTGCATAGTAACTCTTCCGTTCAAGACTGGAAAGAAGAAACCCGAGACTGTGTTGTTTTACAACTCCACAAAGTATGGTGTGGATGTATTCGACCAAATGACAAGAGCACTCACTGTGAAGTCATCATCTCGACGATGGCCAGTCCAAGTCTTTTTCAACGTACTGGATTTGGCTGGCATAAATTCCTGGATAATTTATAACAGTGTTTGCGGAACTAAAATATCTCGCCGGTCGTATCTGGTGGGTCTTTCGGAAGAACTGCTTACATGTATACATCACACAAGGTACATGACAACGGGAATTACGACGAACAACTCAGCGGAGTCGGGAAGTCGCGTGAACATTAAACGTCGGCAGTGTCAGATTGGTTACTGTAAATGTAACAAATCACAAAACAAGTGCTCTGTTTGTGAAAAAATAGTTTGCGGCTCATGTGGACAGATTGAGCGAGTTATCACTTGCTTCAAGTGCAAATCGGAGTAAGTATACGGAATTGTTTACATTTTTTGAAAAAAACTAAACCTTAATACAATCATTTTTCTGTTACAGGTATGTTCTGTACATTAGTTTTTAATAAATGCCGTGAAAAATTTTTAACTGAAAGTTGGGACAAAAAAATATAGCAGTGCGGTCATTTTGACCGGTCCCGGGTGTTCTAGGTATAACGGCGGAGCGGTCTTTCTAGTGTTAAAACCGTTCAGTGTTTTCATCCCAGGGTGGCAGAGTCAATAGACCACAGTTCCAGACAAACTGGATACCCTAGATGCTGACATCGGTAGCTTCTCAGGGGCGATAATCCACGAGTCTCATACAATGATCGGAGTGACGGTGACTAATTCGTCCTCTGGTTATTAGTTGCATGCATCCGCAGACGCACGTCAACCTGAAGTAAACTTCGGAGTCGAATCCTTGCTGGTAGAGTGAATTTCTGTATACAGTCCACCGTGTGCAGAACGTTTTCTAACAGCAAATAAAGTTAGCGCACGGAGCAATGCTCGACACGGTTCGTTCGTCGTCGCCGTTTAATTGACTGCAGTTTGGATGCCATTGAATATATTACACTCATGAACTTAGCAAGCTGTCAAGAATGGAAAATTGACAAAACAAAATACTGTAAAATCTCCGTAAGTTCAAGGGACTGGACCAAAAGTGGCCAACATATGGAGATCCTAGACAAAAACTTAGTGGGCCTTCATTTGCCGTTCTGAGCAGTAGAGTATAAAAGTTGTTTTCACATACACCCGATTTCGAATATATGTAATGAGCTCTTATATAACGGCACAGTTCAGTCATGTGGGGTTATAATAAATCAAGATTCAGTAAGTTTTCCTCAAAGTTAAATCATTTTTCGAAGAGGAGTTGATCTTTGTTTCTCTTATCACAAGCTTAATTGAAGAAGGGCTCTCAGAGCACAAGCTGCACCACTACTCTGCATGCTTGGACTTTTTTTCCACAGCTAATAACTTCAATTGCGTTAAAAAAACGCCTGGAGTCATCAATTTTTGAGGTTTATGTGGTCTCCAAGTTATCTTCACTTAGCTCTTTTTTGTCACCAGGCGTTTCTTATTTGTTACCGCAAGGTTGTACCGCAGTCAGTATCACCTGGAAAATATTTCACCTGAGTCTGGTTCAGTTTAATATAAAAAATCATCATTCATTTCAAAAAACTTGAAAATCCATTCCTTCGAATTCCGCCACGGGAGATGGAATGTCTAATATGAAAATAGCGTCCTGCTCCGGGAGTTTGGACAGTTTGCCATTGTTTCTGGTTGACGTTCGTGCCAAGCGGAAGTTATCCAAAGCACAGTATTTTGAGGCATTCACTGACGAGGTGGATGAAGCTAATCATCAGATTTATCCAAGAATTCATGCTTATGCTGTTGGATGTTTCCCCGTTGGTTCGCTAAAACTAAACTGTTCCGGACTCCTTCTTTGACTACTGCTTTCCAGAAAATGATGTGAACACCAATGGCGCCAAAAGCTAAGGGGCTAACAAACGGGTGTTAAACAGGTTAGCCTAAAACCAGTTACCCGACGGTTAGACAGGCACTCAAACCCGTGATTGCCATATGCGTAGGCACTTGTCTCTATGGGTAGGCGTGATGAGTGCTTGTGCGAAGAAAGGTTTCATACACAAACGGTCAAGGTGAACTTGTGGACAGGGACCTGGTACAACACATTGTACGAGTTAAACACCAATGTGTATAAACACTAGAAGGCGGGACAAAATTACACATACACGTACACAGACAGAGAACATGCAGTATTGTTAAACGTCTGCGGAGTCGTAGGGTGCAGTGATTGTCGGTCAGGGGAACTGCGCACATTTCAAAATCTCGCTACACACATATTATTAGTGGAACAAACGATCGGTCAGCGACCATTGCACAGCAAAGTTTCACACGATCAACTTATAGAGGTTAAACTAATGATGACTGCTACCGTCTAAGTGGT